GATATTTGAATGAACGTTCGATGTCTAGAAGTGTCCCATCATCTTTCTTTCTCGTAATTGTTCTATATATGAACATTTAATTCAACTTAATTTTTTATTTAAAAAAAACAGCATTATTATCTCTTTAAAAGTTACTTTTAACCTATTTTTTTCTGGTAGACTATCATAAGAAAAGCAACAGAGATGAATAACTTAGGGTACAAGTTAAGCTCTTGCCTTATAAAACAACCCTGCCCAATGATTTAGTTGGGCATGCTTTTATAATTTCTCTATCTTAAAAAGAAGCTTAGTGTGATGTTCTATTAATAAACAACTGTAATATATTTTTTACTTTTAGAAATTCTTTTCTATAAATAAACTTAAGAGCAGTTTTTATCCCTTTGTAATTGTTTACGCTTTCTCTTCTCTATTCTTTGATTCATTGAACAGATGTTTATTGACACATGGTCTGCAAGGTCAGGAATTCTGCCAGGGTTTGTTCACTATTATATCACCAGTGTCTAGCATAGTGACTGGCAAATGCTAGATGCTTGGCGTTGTTGAGTGACTAAAAGAACACATGGATGAAAGAATACCTACTTTTGCTTGAATTATAAGAAATTTCTTTTTTGTTTTACCACAAATGCAGCAGTGTTATATGGTTCAACACTAATAACATAAACAAAGTGCTGGAGACACAATAATTCAGACACAATATTATCTCTCTAGAATTTTATGGCCTCTTTCTCAGAGACAGCGTTAATGCATTTATGGAGACTAACTGTGAGTTCCAAGATCAAACTGGGTTCACCCAGGTCCCTTCCTTCCTAACTATGTGACCCTAGACAGATCACTGTAAAATGGAAATTATATAGTAACTTCTCTCATAGAGCTGATATGAGTATTGAGATATTACAGGATATTGTAGGCAAATGCTCCAGGACCTGGCACCTAGCAGGCAATCAGTACATCTTAGTTGCTGTTTCTACTATTAATATTACTGAAAGTTTAGTAGGTTCCAGGCCCTGGGGTGTAGTCTTTTCTTTCTATGAGTGAGCAGGGATAGAGAAAAGGAAACAGAAGACAGTATGATGCTTGGTAAGACTCCCTAGTGATAAGAGCCCTCTGGAAGCAATGCTCTACCTAGAATAACAGGGACATCTTCCTGGAGGAGGCCATATCCGCAACTGACAGCTGAAGAGAGTAGGACTCAGCCTAGAGTGGGTGGGGATAGGGGGGTAACGGGGTCAGGGGGTAGTGTTGAGAGGCAAAGGAAGCAGCACAAGCATGTGATCAGTGTGAGAGAGAATGTGGTCAGTAGAGTAAGGAATATGGAGAGATCCAGTGGTGCAGGGAGAAGTAGGCTGAGGTTAGGAATTGAAGGTCCCTGCTCAAGAGCCTGCAGGGATTGGCCTCTGGTTTGCACTTGAAAACCATCTAGAACCGATGAGGATGGTGGTGGTTGAGGTAAAATGAGAAGGAGACCAGCAAAGAGGTTGGTATAATACGTTATGGAAGAGCTGTGCCAGTGCAGACAGAATCTTGGGAAACCCCATATTTTGGGGACACTGAGGAACTGTTCACTGTTATTTGCTAAGGGCTTTGTTAAGTACAGCATAATTCTCAACCATGTCAGTATAGTGTAAGTTATAGCAATTATTAAATTTGCAATAAAAGGAGTGGAGGATGGGTGGGCTAAAAAACAAAGAGCACCCATATTTAGCTTATTCCAAAATTCCTTTTATTGCCTGCAAAGATTGCAATATATTTTGTTCTTTGTTATTTGTGAGTTAATTCCCTCAAATTATTTACATATGTAAGTAATTTGGCCTTCTAGGAGACATAGGATCTAGGAATTAAAGAGTAAAACATCTCATAACAAAACAGTCCACAAAACCACATTGCACAGGGAAGGCTGTCTTTATTCTTGATTTTTATAGCAAACCAGATTAATGAAGAGAACTTCCTGTATTCTCATAATCTTTGAAACTATGCAATGTTGTAAGATATTACACTGCTCCTGGTAGATGAGATAGACTAAAGTCATTCATTCAACAAATAATTGATACCTCCTAGGTATAAAGTGTAAAGCAATGAACAAAACAGATTGTTCCTGCTATCATAGAACCTACATTCTAAAGGATGGCATGTTGTATTATCTTGATGAAAAACGATAAAAACGTATTTTTATCCAAGTATTTTATTTTTATTTTTGGCATTAGTTGATAGTATAGGAAAATTAGATATCAGATATTTGATTTGTTTCCCAGATTATGAGAGACAGTATAGGATTACATGAGAGTTAGAATATTAATAATGTTTAGTATATAGGGCTTAATTTATGTTAACTATTTTTATTTACATTATATAATAATTGATTTATATTGCCAATGTTATTGGCTAATGTAGATTACCTCTAATTTACCTCTTAATTCCCATCTAGAAGCTCCATCTAGTAGCCAGACTACCATCATTGCTTGCCCAGACTTTAGCAGTAGCCTCCTACTTGTCTGCATTCTTTCTCTGTCTACTCAATCTATTTTTCACCTTGCAGCCAGAGTAAAATTTATGCTGCTAAATTAGTTTCCTACTGCTTCTGTAAAATATTTCCATGAACCAAGTGACTTAAAGCAATAGGAATTTATCTTACACCTCTGGAGGTCAGAAGCCCCAAATCAGTCCTAGTGGGCTAAAATAAAGGTTCTGATGGTGCTGTGTTTCTTCTGGATGCTCTAGGGACAACCCGTTTATTTGGCGTATTCTAGATTCTACTTGTGGACCTGAATCACGCTGTGATCACACCTCCTTCTTTGATTCACTTGCCTCACTATTTCATGTATAAGGACTCGTGATTATATTGCACCCACCAAGATAGTCCAGGATGATCTTTCCATCTCAAGACCCTTAATCACATCTGCATCATTGCTTTGGTGTGTAAGGTTACATATTTGCAGGTTTTGGGAGCTAGGAGATGGACATCTTTCAGGGGCCATTCTGCTTCCATCATGTCATAGAACAGTGTCTAGAACATTGGTGTAAATGAGTTCGTTTCTTTATTTATTTGCATACATGTCTTCTTATGAATTAAGCTTTTCTGTGGGTTCCTAATACTTTTAGGCTTAAAGACTTTTAAACCCCTACCTTGGCTTGGGAGGTTCCCATGGCCTCCCCAGCCTTGTGCTTTCCTGAGCCTCCATCCACATCAAGCGCTCCCCTCCACTCCCCTTCCCCCCCCCCTTGCTTATAGAACTCAATTTCTTCCCAGCTTTTCAAGTCCTTGCTGTGGCCTCTGCTCACACCAACCTTCTCCCCCTCTCTCCAAATCCCTTTGCTTGTTTTCCTGCCACTCTCAGCTTAGATTAGGGGTGTCAAACTCAATCAGAGAAGGGGCCAAAATCTAAAATCCAGCCTAAATCGCGGGCCGAATGGTTTACTGAACAGTCATAAACTGTCATTGTGATGGAAACGCAGCGGAGTGCAGTGATGACAGTGCGGTGCGGGCCACATTGCAAGGCCTGGCGGGATGGATTTGGCCCGCGGGCCTTGTGTTTGACACATGTGGCTTAGATGGTAGAGCAAACTCTTCCTAAAGGGTTTTCCACTTTATACCTAGGAGGTATTCAGTTATTTGTTGAATGAATAAATGACTTTAGTCTGTCTCATCTGCATCTTGAACTTTTCTCTGCTTGTTAAATATTCTACTTGTACATAGTCCTGGAGCCTGGACTGCTCTTTCATAGCACTTGATCACAACTTGCAATTGTTTATTGGTGTGCTTATTTGTTTCATCAGTAAGCTTTGTGAAGGCAGTGACTATTTCCAGCGTATACTCCATGCTGATAATTTACTTGGTGCTCAGTAAATATTTGTTAAGGGAATGGACTTAAAGTGAAAAGACAGCTTGCCTGTTGAGTAACTCTTGGTTCTGCTCGTCAGTGTACTATTCTTGTAGCCCCAGGCAGATTGGAGTTTTGGATTATGCAGAGATTTTGTTCAATAACAGACAGTAGGAGATTGACAATTATTGAATAAAGCAACCCAATGTTGTTCATTCATTATTTTTCCAATGAAGTGGAGAGTTAATTTCACTACTTAGTACTTTTAAGACCCCTCTTCCATCTCTTTAAAGCTGTGTTTGACTTGAACATATAGACTCTCATAAACTAGGGATTCCATTACATTTTAAAGCGGCCTTCATTCAGAGTTGATGTTCAGAGGGCGTTTTCCTGTTATAGGCCTGTGGGCTATGGAGCATTATGCCTAAAATGGCATTACCCTCTGTCAGCGCTGGTGTTCAAGAGAAGTCTGCCAAACTTCTTTAACGTGGCCACCACTCAATGTATGTCAGTGACTCTTTTTTGAGAAAATGTTTTACAAAAGGGAAAAAAAAAAAAAGTTTTATATTTTGTATCTGACTCAACAGATTTTCTTTTTTTAAAATTTTATATTTTACTGAATTATGAGTTTTTTCCATTTTATTTAAGCTGGCTTTATATTAATTTATTATAGCTTCTTCATTTAAGCTACAATATTTCACTCTCATATCAGCAAAGTTTGAGTTAGGTATCCACCTTTGTTGTCAGTTCAGTAAATTTTTCTGGAAGAAAGAGACAGCTTTTGGAGTTCAAAAGTGCTTTGAAGGGAAAATCAATTTAAAAGCATTTTCTAGTTATGTTCTTTTTTCTCTACTGATTAACACTGTAATTATTTAAATTTTAACCTTTAAGTCGAAATCTATACTACATCTATATATCATACCTATTTTCACTCTACAGATAATTTCACACTCTATATTGTGAAATACTATGTTTACATCTGTATTGTGTGGCATAGTCACTGATGTTTTATTTTTTAATCTTTTTACTAGATTTGATAAAAATTCATAAACTGGTTAACTTTCAGTTTTTATCTTTCTATGAAGATACACTAGTACTTATTAAAATTAATTTTCTGTTATTAGCTTAACTTTAGTTGTTGATCCAAATCAATCTATATAAAATATGTATGTACTTTCCTTTTAGAGTATGTTGGATAAAGGACATTGTCGTGTCAGTAACTAGAGAGAACATGGAAGTAATGAAGGATATTATTCAGAAGTACCAGCATGAGCGCGTCTCACTAGTCGAAGCTGGAGTGACCCGCCACAGGTCCATATTCAATGGTCTAAAAGCTCTGGCCGAGGATCAGCCAGACTCCAAGCTGTCTAAGCCAGAAGTAGTGATTATCCATGATGCTGTGAGACCTTTTGTGGAGGAAGATATGCTCCTTAAAGTGGCCACAGCTGCTAAGGAACATGGGGTAAGTATTTATACTTATGTGAATGGATAAAACAGGCAAACACTATACAGAGTGGTTCATTTGCTGAGTTTTGATGGAATTATATTTAAATGTGAAGTTATTAAAATGGGCATGAGGATCTGAAGCAGGTAGGGTAATTTGTTTTAGGAAGTTTATAGATTGCGAGATTGTTCTGGAATTTATCTTTGCTATAGTCATTTATCCTCATAATGTAATATGAGCTATTTGGAGAAGAATGTAGTAATACTGTCCTCAGAGTATGGAAAATGTCTAAGAGGTCAGTCAAAATTCCAATATGTATGTATGAGTGTGTGTGTAAAAATATTCTAAATTTCCTTAAAATGGTTAGAATAGTGATCCAATAGCTTCAGGAAATCCAGACACTACTTTCTGCCAACCCGCATACTGTTCTAATCATAAAAAACATAAATGCAATTAATAGAAACTTATACTAGTAGTTGAAGTTCTTATTTTGGTGGAAAGAATTGGCATCTTTTATAACTACTGGCCAATAACTTGCAAAATATTTGCTTGAATCAAATACTATCCAAGGCAAGAAAAGAGTGATGACTGTTCAGTCAAAGACACTTCACAATTTTTTTCCCATGGGTTCCTTGTCCTTTGTTCTCATAAATTGTGTTCTATAGAATCTGAACAGATTTCTTCTTAGCCCCCAAATTTAAAATCTCTTTCAGAAGATCCTATTTAGATAAACCATTTTCTAAGTAAGCTACACAGTGTGACAGCCCCTGAGGTGGCATACATACCAAAGATAACTGTGATTTTTTTAAACTTCTATTACATTTTGGACAAAACAGAACAAATTAATGTAGATGAATTAATTACATCAAGAGACTAAGATGTCCAGTGATAGGGCTGCCAGAGTTTCCTGCATATAGGAACTCGAAAGTATCACAAGGATACAATTTCACTGCCTTAATTATATATGCACCATTGTTGGGTCCCACGGATTTGATGATCTTGGTAGGACCAGCAGTGAAATTCTTTTAGTGTTTGTTCATCCTTACTCTTGATGATAGCTTGTCTGGGTATACAGATTCTAAGGCTTCAGCTGTTAACGCCCAATACTTTGAAAATATATGATACAATTGTTTCCTGGCTCTTATCCAGCTTTTGGAAGTCGTCTAACTATGAAAAGACATGGATTTTGTGTGCTTTTATTTTTCCTCCCTTTCTCTGGCAGTAGGCCTCAACATGTCTTCTCCTGAAATCTCTGTGCTCTGATCTCCCCACCCCAACATCTCTCCACAGTTTTGTGTTATTACAGTTTAGACACTATTTTGCTTGTCACAACCCTGCAGACCTACCCATGGATATTGTATTTATCTAAGAGATCTAATTGCCTAAGGCCTTTTGAGCACTGGTTTATGGAACATTTTACTGAATTCTCATAAAACCAGGTCCCCCTGTATTGGGTTGCTTTCTAATATTTAAAACAAGAGGGATTTTTGCATCTGATAGCAGGCTCCACATTGTAATTTCTTTCTATATTTGAATATTGATGTGGCAGAGGGTCTCTTAAACTTGGCATGACTGACATCATGGGAGCCGTCCTGTGCCCTGTGAGGTGGTTAGCAGCATCCCTGTTTACACCACCAACTCCCACACCAGTTATATGGTAGATAAGAATGTACAGGCTTAGAACATAATTAATCATAATATCACACATGATTTTGTCCTTCCCCCCCATTTTATTGATATATAATGAACATACAGCACTAAATAAATTTAAGGTAGATAGCATAACGACTTGACTTAACATAGATTGCACTTATCACCTATTCCTTTTCTTAAGGTAAACAGTTGTTTCTGTAATTTATTGAGCAATTGGGTATGATGTCGATTTAAAAATGGCTCTGGATATTTTGTTTCTTGAACAGTTAAAGGACTTTCGTAGTAGTATAACCTTACAGAGGCCTTAAAATCAAAGGTTTATGTTGACATCCTTTCTTATATAGGAAGAATATACATTTCTTCATTAAATATTAACTAGTTTTTACTCAGAAAGTCTTTGAGTCATCTTCTAAAGAGAAACTGAAATGTACATAATAAGCAGAAACTTTGACATGTGGTATGTGGGCATGTTCATATATGATCTGTTTGGATTCTGCAGCATGACCATATTTATCCATGATTGATAGCACTTTGGAAATTCTATTTTTATATGTATGCATCAGGAAGAATGTACTTTCCCACCACTCAATTTTACAACTTTGTGTAGCATATTCTGGGCATGTTCTAAAATAGAGACGGAAGTTCACTTGGTGGAAATTTGACATTGGGGAGAGGTAACCAAGGCTAACTGTCATTTGTTCTGATCTCTGTTGGATGGTTTTGATGATGAGAAAGTGCACTGAAGGGCAGAGTTTAGTCTGGGGTGGGGTTCAGGTAATGAGCTCCCCAGGGTCATTGGATCCTGAGTCATTAACGCCTGAGAGACACTTGGATGTTGATTTAAGTCCTAGCTGTGATGAACCAGTGTTATTTGTGAGTAAGCAGTGAGTTCTGATTTAGTGGTAAACTTTAGACCTACGTTGATAAAGACTTAAATGCCATGGCATGAGTGAAACTTTATTTGTTTCTGATGCTGGAGAAGATACTGTGTGAAAAAGCTTTTGTTTTACTACGTTATTTGAAATTACAATCCCCTCTATATCTGTTCAATAAATTGCCTTAAAATGAAGCTGGAGAAGGGGTAGATCAAGGCAAGATGAGTATATCTAGGGGTTAAAATGAAATAAAGCTTATTACATACATATCCAAGTATGGCATACCTGGTCATATTAGATTTAAGGTAAATGTTACTAGCTTTGCTTCCAGGAATTAAAATTTAGTAGTGTGTAAAATGGAGAATTCCTTATTCCTTTCTACTCTGTATTTACTTTTAGGGGTATTTTGCAGCGATATAATAACTTGGACAGAGGTTTTTCTAAAATACCTATATCTCTATATTGAAAAATTATAGATTCTTTTAATGTGTCAAAAAGGAGGTTGGAAATATTCTGTTAGAAAATATTCAAAATCTTATAATTGCTAATGATTAGCTCTGAAGATCTTATTCTGTAAATATTAAGTAGTGTTTCAATAAAGACAAACCAGCTAACTGAAATTGTAATTACAAGGTCGGTGGATTTCTGATATACATTGTCATATCGAATGCAGATGCCTGAGGAGTAATGCCTGTTCGCACCTGCTGTGTGGATGGATGATTAGCATTGTTCAATTTTGCTTTGAAAAGTGAACAGTAGAGATGTGGTTCATTATTTCCACATTGCATGATTGATATCTATGATGATTTCCATGCGTTGACATGTGGAAATACTGTGATAGGTTAGTCTGAGAGGCAAGTAGTCACTGTAGTGCTAAGCTTCCATTCAGGCTTATTATACTAATTCCCAAGGAGACAGTGTATTTGATCACTTGGGAATCATACCCCATATAACAGGCTCCCCAGTTCGCTGCCTCTGGGAGGCAACTAACCATCTTTGTTCATGCTTGTGTCATAATTTGATGCGTTGAGTTTCAGAAAAGATCATATATAATTGAGAACTCATTGCATATTTATTTCTGAACAAATGTCCCTTACCAGGGAACTAGATATAGAGTACATGTTTATTAGCATTAGCATCTTTCTTCTATACTGTTTATACCAGTCAGAGGAAAGAAAGGTCAACAAAGGAGTTATTTTCACTTGGGGCCCTTTTTCTGGGCCTTTTATTTATTAAAATCCCGGAAGCTGCTAATTGTCTGTATTTCCTATTGTCTTCATATTGTACTACTTTCTAAGTGATATTTTGGATTCCATAGGTGAGGACTTACTAATTCTTGCAATTCACCTATTCTGCGATGGCATCTCAAATATGTATAATTTTTGGTCTCAAGAAGTTAGTTTTTAATAATAAAGACCGAGAGTCCACAAATACACATTTTAGAAATTTTCTTTTTAAAAATACTGAAAACATACAGAACACCTTGGACACCTTCAGATCTGTCACTTGGTATAACGAATCAAACTTTAGTAGTCAGTTTGAAACTGTGTCCCTGATCTTATTTACTCCTCCCATATGGGTAACACTACCTTGAACTTGTTTTTTATTGCTCTCTTGCTTTTTTCTTCAGTTTTGTAGCATTTGTTGTGTTCATATGATTTTTATTTAAATTTTATTTTTTGAGGTATAATTGACATAATTAACATATATTTGTATGGTATTCTAAATCTTATTTTTGCATATATCTTGACAGCTTTTCTTTGGCACAATATGTTTTGGGAAATGTATGCATGTGAATCTGCAGCTATAGTTCATTCATTCATGCTCACTGTTTTCTGTATAGCAATAACTATAGAAAAAACAACAACTTCTGTTTCATTGCACCTCAATATGATCCTTACCCTATAGGTGAGTGTCTCTAACCTCTTGGCACACTTGCCTGTTATTTAGCTTCTGTGGGAAACATGGAGCTGAGTGAGATGGGAAATGTTAGCACTCTGCTTCTCCCACTGGGAACTAGGGGTAGAGGAGTCTCATTTTTTTGCCATACCTATGCTAAGAGGAACTTCAGCCATACTAAACTGGGTGTGGAATGAGAGAAGAAATGGATATGACTAAAGCACCATAGGCTCTCTCTGGTCTCACCAAGATTTAGAAGGTTTTCTTGAATAAAGTTTCCTAATTGGCTGAATGCCCTTAGGACAATTTTCAATGGCTTTTCCATGTTTTGTGTTGTTGTTGTTGTTGTTTTTTAAATACTTTTCACTATTTATAATTTGCTCAGGAGAGAATCTGCTGAGCTTCACATGTTGATACTTGTATGTATCATGTTATTTTTTAAATAAATTTTTATGTCATGGCCTGGAATAAAATTAGCTATAAGTAGTTGCAATGGAAATTTAATTTTTTTCCTAAAAGGCAGTGTATGTATATACATGTGTGCACATGCGTTTCTTTCCTGCTTTGTCTTCTGACCCCTATTGATAGGCTTGACCAGTTGGGCTTGTTCCTTACTTACGTTTCACCTACTTGGACATTCCTTCCTCCCTGTCACCGTCGGATGATGTCATTTTTATACCTCGGGTCCACATTTTTTACTGCGTCACTGGAAATGGTGACGCAGTTTGAAAACTGTCTACATGGCTCATACATTAGCTTTGATTTTTAGCCAGTCTGTTGGCTTCTGTAAACTAGTTCACAGACTATCTTTCTTGCTCCGATGTTGTTCTTCAGGCCAAATGTGTTGTATTTGTATATTAGCTTCATGTGCTGCAAATTCCATGTAGCAATTATGTGGGAGACAGGATATTTTGGATAACATATAAGGAGGTTTAGTTGAATTGCCTACATTAGAAACCATATTTTAAGGCTACTTCTCCAAGACAGCTGTTTGGTAATGACCTCTAAGTCTATATTACAAAGACACTGTATTAAAGCTAAAGGCAAAAATTGTCAGATAGGAAGCTGGTTTTTTTGTTTTTTGTTTTAAATAAAATTTAAATACCTCTATTAATGAAACAGAGCTTTTATCAGAGCAATTGATATTAATGGATATTTTCCCTATGGAGCATTGTTAGAAGAGAACTGTTTTTCACAGAAATTAGAGCAAAACATAAATTCATTGTTACGTGGGTTGTTGAGTCTCATTTTGGGGATCTTAGGGAATATGTCTGTTTCCTTAATTTTCTAATGTGTAAATTAAATCTTTTGAAAGCATACTAATTAGTAATTCATTTCAGTTCTTTCATATAGTCTTTCTCTCTCTTTCATCTTTAGGGAATACCCACTTATATCATTGCATCCATATTTAGTATTTGACTTCAATGGCCTGTATAAAAAGGATTTTAAGCCTATGATGAAGAAAATTTTCTACCTCATATATGGAACTGTAATATTATGAGATTGGTTCTTGGTGTGACATGATTTGATTTATGAATCAAATGAATACTTGCTCAAATATTTTCTTGAGGTAGTTTGTTGAAGGTATGAATAACATCTGCTTTCAGAAATAAGATACAGAGTTTAGAGTTTGACTTCAAAATATTTTCTCGGTGAAACCATGTCTTGCTTGCCTCTGTTTGCTATTTAGGCAGCAGGAGCAATTCGCCCTCTTGTATCCACCGTCATCAGCCCATCTGCTGATGGTTGCTTAGACCACTCACTGGAACGTGCCAGACACAGAGCAAGTGAAATGCCCCAGGCTTTTCTATATGATGTCATCTATGCAGCCTATCAGCAGGTAAGAATTCTGGCATTTTGAGAAAGCTGTGTTGCCGGTGCCTAAGACCATGCCTATATTTGGATATTTTCTTGAACTCGTGGGTCTCAGGCTATAGTTGTACTCATGGCTTACATTGATTAAAGTGAAGTAATGAGGATGCACAGCTGGATCCTGTGAGAAAGAGACATAGTCAGATTCTGGGAGAATCCATGTGCAAGATTCCATATACTCTCTCCCTCCCCTAAAGGGTAGTACCAATACCTCTTATCCCCTTCCCCCACCAGCAAAAAAAAAAAAAAAAGAAAAGAAAGAAAGAAGAACATGTTATGCTGTTTCTCTTTAAGGAAGCCCATCAGAGACTTGGTGTCCAAAGCATTTGTTGGGATTGGTCATGTAGACATCCTGCCTGCCTCCCACATAAAAATAAAATCCAGATTCCCAGAGGAAAGCAGGGGTTTAACATAAGCCACATTGTTTATGCAAACACACTGGGCCCAGAGAGTCACCCTTATCAGTTAACTCTTCAGGAATATCCCAAGAACCAGTTTCTCACGTGCTGGCTGTGGGCCCACCTGGTTAACAGGTGTTTCTAAGTTCAGCAATCTCAGGCTTTTTTTGATACATTTTCTGCACAGCTGTGTAGACATTTTGTTAATCACATTTTAAAAGGTAAGTTCTTTGAAAATGTCAGGTAATTTATTCATGTTTAGATTATACTAGATTGCCTTTGTTTTTCATGTTTTGGAAACATTTTTGTACCTATGTAAATTTTACTACCATACAGTTATTGTCAGGTATTATTCTTGTCCAAAACTTCCCAATGAAATATAAGTTAGATTAGCCTAGTGCTTGGTCGATATTAGACAATCAGTAAATGTGAGATAATAGTAATACGAATATTGACATTTATAATAGAAAAATACCACATATTTTCTATAGAGGGTACTGAATCACATACATACATTAAATTACCATTCAATCTTGACTACTTGGTACTGTTTTAAAATGAGATTATATAAATTAGAATCCATCTTAATGATATGAATAATTAGCCATGGTTTATATTGTCTTCTTAAAATAATGAATATGAAGCATAGGAATTTGCCTGTATTTCATCATTAATTCTATAAATGTTATGCTACTATAAATTTCTTTGTGTGCTACTATAAATTTCTTTGTGTTTTTTTAATCCAAATATTCTATTTTATAGCCTACTAGTAAATCTTGCTGAGCTAGATTAATGAAAGAATTTGTTATGAAGATATGATAGCTATATTTTAGATAAAAATTTGAATATTATTTCACAATCCTCACATTAAAAATCATTTTTAGCAGTTTTTGCTGGAGAATTAAGCCCTGATGCAGTGAGGCTGGAGCTCCAATAAATGTTTCCTCCTTTCTAGAACTTGACTGCCTTCTTATCTTGTTACATATTCCTCAGATATTAGATAAATGTTCACTTTCCTGCCCTCTTTTCCCCTCCTCAATGGAGGTTAGTTCAGTGCCCTGTTTTTTCTGTCCAGCATCAAAATTATAATTCATTACTTGGGAAGCCATTTATAAAATATCGGATTCTACTACTGGACTCTGAGCCTTGCAATTGTAAGTGTCTGTAAGAAAAAGAGAAGACAAACCGATGAGGCAAACAGGATACAGAATCAGGCTGGAAAGAGGATAGCAAACACAATAGGGTTGTTGCTTTCTTCTGGTGGTTTGTCCTGAGTTCATGTTATTGAATAAATCCTGGGAAACATTTTTTTTTTTTTCAGTCTGGTAGATTACTGGAAATCTCTTCTGTGTTTGTGCTTTTCTGGTGGGAAAGTTCAAGGTGGGGAATGGAATGTGTGGGAAGAGGCATACAATGGAAACACTTATTCTGTCATGGGCAGGAGGGCCTCTTGGAATTGCCAAGGGCTTTTTCTTTTATGTTCTAAAACCCCCGATCTCTTTGTTTCAGACTTTGGCAAGAAAATCTGCTTTTAAAAAATAAACAGAAGTGAACCGAGAGACACAGTACACAGATTTGTCTCTTCTTCTTTTTTTGCAAATCAAGCTAGGTACTGACTTCTGGAAGGCAGGTGGGAGAGGGCAGGAGCTATCAGGACACTGAGAAGTTACACAAATGGATACTGAAGATATGCATCAGTGACCAGCAGTTTCTAGGCTTTATATGAGGCAAATGCTGACAGGCACCAATACCCAGGCAATTCTAATTCATCCTTCTCCAGGGATGACAGAGCTGTCAATTCCCAAGCCATTCCATGATCACGTGATCTCTCTGTGTGCCTAGCAAAGAGATACCATTATTTAGAGCAAATAAATAGCTTCAAAATGAAAAACTTTCCGGTTCACTCGAATGCTAAAGGAAATCCCAGGAGTTACGGGCTCATCCAGAATCAAATGACAAAGTAAATTTTGACCACACTTTGTCATGTGGTCTTAAATTTGGGTAGTGTATGCAGTAGTATCTGGGTGGTAGCTTAGCGGTTTATGGCCAACACAAAATCAATTTCCTGGGCAGAGCTAAGAACTTCAACTCTTGTTTGACACCCTTTTACTTTAGAAAAATTGCAGAATGATGGGCAGAGTAGAGTGAGATACTTTGAGGATATACTTTATCATGAAGGAAAATGAATTTTAACATTTATATAACTTTACTTACACTTTTTTTTTTTTTTTTTTTTTGCAAACTGTGTCTCTTGTGTTAAGCAGATGAATTAATTTAAGTTTTTCTGTGTAAATCTGAATTAGGTGCCACCCCTTTGTGGTAGATGTCGCTGTGTCAGTTGGTTAAATTGGGAACTATTTATCTTGGTTAGATGAGCCAAAAGAACCATAGGTCAGAAATTTAGGAGGCTGAAGTAAGCAGAATTTATTTCTCTCCTTTTTTTATTGTCACAGAAATGCTTGGTGGGTAGCAACCTCTCCTTGCCATCTCGTGGTGTTCCTGAATGCTAGAACCATTGAGTATCACTAGCTCCAGTTCATTACTGGACACTTGGCCGAGACAGTGGCTACACAGAAATAACTGTTCCCATGGCTTTCCCCTGAAGGTCTAATTTTAATGGCTGGATGTGCTGATCGAGCCAGGTTGACTAGTCAAGGATGTCTGTTCTGATCCTTCAGCTTGCCCTTCCAGTCTTCACTTTCCCCAGCGACATAACTGTGTACAGTGGCCCTGCTCCCCAGACTGATACATCCTCTAATTCAGCCAGAGAGTCGTGTCCATATTATGTCCACTAACTTGTACAAGCCACTCTGGTGTGTGTGTGTGTGTGTGTGTGTGTGTGTGTGTGTGTGTTTTAACATCACTATTCTTTTTCTTTTACCTTGTTTAGGAGAGAATGCATTTTTATTTATTTATTTATTTATTTATTTATTTATTTTTAAAACATATTTTATTGATTTTTTACAGAGAGGAAGGGAGAGGGATAGAGAGCTAGAAATGTCGATGAGAGAGAAACATCGACCAGCTGCCTCTTGCACACCCCCTACCGGGGATGTGCCCGCAACCAAGGTACATGCCCTTGACCAGAATCGAACCCCGGACCTTTCAGTCCGCAGACCGACGCTCTACCACTGAGCCAAACCGGTTTCGGCGAGAATGCATTTTTAGAAGATACACAGGTCTCTTTAAAAAAAAAAAAAAAGGAATACTTTTACATGGTATTTGGTGCCAAAGTTGTTTTGAGTTTTTAATATAGTTTTCTTTTGGGTGTTGTACAAAGTATTGCCAAAAAAAACCAGAAGCAAAATTTTGCTGGCAGGGTTTACTTTTGTTGGTCTGCTGCCTAGAATATTGAAAAACTCCAATATAATGACATAAAAGCTATTAACTACTAATATTAAAGCTGGCATGTGTAGGAACCACCTTTCCTGTAGATAATAATGAGATCTGAAATCATTCTCTGGGATCCAACTTAGAACTACGTGCCTTTCAACATGTACTCAACATTATGGACTTTTAACGAATAAAAATTTAATCATTTCCTTACTCGAGATTTCAAAGTTTGTCATTATTTTTGGCCATTATTATTTGCAGGTATTGATATCCTGAGCAAGATATCTCTAGATCATATTCTAAAATATGCTATTTTAGAATATGATCTAGAGACGGAATTTAGCATTATCTGGTCAGTTAAAGAGATATTTTCATAAGCTTTTGAATAAACTAATTTTTTTTCTAAAAATTTTTAGGACTAGCGGAAATCAGTTTTTTCACTGAGAGTATTTTGGACAAAGACTTACTGTTAGTGAAATATTTATGCACCACTGAATGCCAAAGTGGACACACACTTCATAAACCCCACAGAAGGTAGTCTGAAACATAAAATAAAGGTACTAGTTCTCTTCTTACAGCACAGCAGGTTCTCAAATAACATCATTTTGTTCAACATCATTTTGTTACAGCATTGATGAGATGCTGTGGAACTTAACTCTTGTTTATATCAATTAGCCCATGGCAATGATTTTCAATTGGTATGCTGCAAGAATTTTTAAAACATGCAATTTAGTTAGGGACACTGTCCTCTTTTCCCTTATATTGTAAAAAATAAAAAAAAAATAAAAAAAATGACAACAAGCCTACACAGTAACAGCCATTCTGGTGAATGAACCAAAATTATACCCATTTTTTTGTCAGATTGAAAAAAAATATGTTTGGTATGCCACGGAATTTTAAAATATATATATTTTATTGATTTTTTACAGAGAGGAAGGGAGAGGAATAGAGGGAAACATCGATGAGAGAGAAACATCTATCAGCTGCCTTCTGCACATCCCCCTCTGGGGATGTGCTGGCAACCAAGGTACATGCCCTTAACTGGAATTGAACCTGGGGCCCTTCAGTCTGCAGACCGATGCTCTATCCACTGAGCCAAACCAATTAGGGCTGCCTCAGAATATTAATAATTCATTTATGTGTGCCATGAGATGAAAAGGCTGAAAATATCTGGCCTCTGGTGAAATTGGTTTTATTACACATTATTTTGCAGCAGTTCCAAGAACTATGACGACAT